TCCCCGGGTTAAGAATGCCCAGTTTACAGATGACCCATAGTTAAGAATGGAGCCTGCTGTAGCAAAATTCAAGTTAAATACACAATGGTTCAAGTTAATTACACAATACTACTTATGCAGTATTATACAATAATACTGTTCTGGCTTACATACAAATTCAACTAAAGGACAGACCTTGAGAACAGAACTGCTCCTTAAACTGAAAACTACCTGTACAGTTAGTCCTCACTTAACAACGTTAATTGGGATCAGAATTTATGTCGCTAAAGAAGCAGTCACTAGGTGAAACATCACATGATCATGGCGCTTAGTGATGGCAGTTCCAGTAGTCCCGATTGCAGTTGTTAGGCAAGGACAATGCCATCGTCAGATAAGGACCTCCCACTTCTCCTGCTCTGTGCAAGCTGCCAGCTCCGTCCTGCTGCCTTCTCCCCAGGCCAGCACAATGAGCTCCTTTCGGCAAACAAGCCTCCACCCTGTGCGTCCTGGGGCTGCACCCAGCACCTGGATCCTGGGCCAGCAGTGGGAGGAAGATGACAAAGGTCAGCTCAGAGTGGCAGGGGTAGGCAGTGGCAGCAGAGTGCAGGGCTGCCAAAAGGGCAGAGATGTGGGGGAGATAGGAAGGTGGGAGGAGGTGAAGTTGCTAAGTGCCCAAATTTTGATCACATGACTGCAGGGGTGCTGCAACTGCCGTAACTTTGAGGACTAGTCATAATTACCATTCATTCAGCACCGTTGTAACAAACAATCACTGAACGAATGGTTGTTAAGCAAGGACTACCTGTATATCCACCTGGCCTGTGATGGTCCTAAAACAGAATTCAACTTTATAATTCTATTACAAATCCTCCCAAAGTCAGTGTATTCATCTGGCAGAGAAGGAGAGAGCAGCCTGCCATCCACTCACAGAAGAAGGTTGCTGACTCCTGGTCTAGACTCAGTGCAGCCAGGAAGCCTTCAGCTTTCATCTTCTCTGCCTCGGATATTGAAAAAAATAAAAAGATGGATGGGAAAAGCATACAGTTGATGCTCTGAGCTTCTCAAGGAAAGGCAAGACATAAATACAGTAAGTCCTTCCTTCAAGCAGAATATTCTCTATTGTTTCTAATAATTTCTTTAATCATTCTCTTTCATGGCCCGTGTTACTAGAAGTAACATACAGCTAGATAAATATTAAAGTCAAGGAGATGTTCCATACCTTCCCAGTCTTCACATCTACATAAGAGAGAGTATGTTTTCTCCAATGCTGCTCAAATGATTTCTTCTGCTGTCCTTGGGCTGGTTTAGAATAATCATATTCATCTATCCTAACCTAGAACATAAAGTACATGTGAGGGAATACCAACAGTTTGAAGCTCACATTCAGAAAACATTGACTATGTTTCAAAACAGTGTAACTACTATAGTTTTGTTAACACACAGTAAATAGTAAATGTAAGTGTTGGTCTTCAGACTGATACAGATTCAAGTGTCTGTTACCTAAACAACCCAGCCCTTATATATTTTAAAAATATCCATCTCCTCACTATTTCACCATAAAGCTGTGAGAAAAAGACTCAGAAAGTCCCCAAGATAATGGTTCTAAAAGGAAAATACTTATTAAACTTTTTAATGAGGACTCCAAGCTTCATGCTTGGAAAAAGTTTTACGTACTTTCAGTTCAGGCAATTGCCAACAGCCTGACAGAAAAGCTAGCTTCACTGAGAAAACTTAGAAACGTTTGAACAAAATGGATACTAAATATTCTTCTTAAACTTTGAAGTAATATCAGAAACACCATATTTAATATTGTTAACATCAGTCATCTTGCAATGTAGATTATTGAATGAAAAATGGCTATGCTCAGAAAGGGGCTTCATCCCATCAACACAATTTATTTAAGAGTGATGTTAATAGAGGCATTAGTAGAGTTATATATGCTTTCGAGAAACTGCAAAATAACCAGTTCTATCAAAACCGCATAAACATCTTGTCTTATAAGGTCACTCTATAACAGTCAATAAATTAGGACTGCATTATATTATTAATCTTTTTCAAATTTTGAATAGATTCTATATTCATGTATAGCTAACTTAATAAAAATATCTGTCAGCCTGATTAGGTATGCCAGTCATGAAATCAATTCCACAGGAAGGCTAAAACTACTTTTACTGAAATAGCAGAATCTTACAAGTCTGATTGTGCTGTACCTCCTCCTGCTTCTTATAGTTCAGTGAAGAAGAGAGGTTTCTCTCTGAGCTGCTTCTGAATGCTATCTGGCCATTCTGGACTTACATGCTTCAGCTCCTTTTTCCTAGGCAACGGCTTCTGCATATCTCCATTAAGGTCATCTTCCTTGCTCTCTACAATATCTTTTACAAATGGCTAACCCATATGCTCATTCTTTTTGCCAATATATTGGATGTAAAGAGACTCCAAGAAATATTAATATATTGATTTAAACCTCAAGATAAATATATGAATATATGTGTTCAGACATTGCAGGATTGCTCACCAAATATATAAAAGAAAACATTTAAAGAATTATTTTGGAATTCTGATTTGTTTGCTATTCAGTCCTCATTAATTCTCTCTATATGACCAAACCATCTCAACATACTTCTTTCACATTGGTCATTCACTTTTATGTTCAATCCACATTCATTCAGCTCCCATTCTTAACCCTATCTTTTCTTGTTTTAGAGCAAATCTTATGTATCTTGTTCCCAGTGCATGCTACTTACTTTTATTTTTCCTGACAATACTCTTACTTCCATATAACAAAATGGGAAGAAGCATGAGCTTATAGCCATTTTTGCTTCTTTTGACAAACATTCCTCACAATAGATCCACTACTTTTCTATTAGTGTTTGCATGTCTTAAATGTCTCTATATGTTACCCCAACTCTACTACCATTCAGTCAAAGAACAAAGATTTATTCATTCAGAATAAAATATGAATCTATATTTTATATTTTATCAAAAGTCACTGGTTTATCAATAAATTCACCCCTATAATATAAAAAAGATACTATTGTATTGTTTGTTTCCTTCTTGATCTGGATCTTTAGTTTGATTTTTAATTTTTTAAATTTTTTTTGTAAGACTAAAATTATATTGTTAAAAATACAGATATTAAATAAAAATAATTTTTAAAAAGTATGAATCTTTTTATGGGGGGGAGCTTTGAGTCAGTGTTGATTCCTGTCAACTGCCTGGACAAGTCCCTGCAGTTTTCTTGGCAAGATTTCGGAAGTGGTTTGCCATTGCTTGCTTTCTAGGGCTGTGATAGTTACTGGCTCAGCTGGCTTTGTGTCTAAGGCAGGACTAGAACTCATGATCTCCCGGTTTCTAGCCTGATGCCTTAACCACTACACCAAACTGGCTCTCAAAATATGGATCTATTTCCTCTACTTCCTCTCATTTCAGCTATTAATGTATGTACTGTTAACTGCAACTACTTTGGTCTAAGATACATTCATTTTCAGATCCATATTCCTTGCTGCATCATACAATCTATCTAACATTTGCTGAAAATCATTCAGGTTCTCAGCCAACAATGCTTATGTAGGTAGTCCTCACTTAATGACCATTCGTTTAACAATGGTTCGAAATTACGAATGGCCTCAAAAAGTGTGCTTTACGGCCCGTAAAGCACTTCCGGCCGTTGTAAAAAGTCGCACTGCAGCCCCCTCTCGCAGTCACATGGCTGCATTTCGGGCACTTGGCAACCAGCTTGCATTTATGACCAGTTGCCAAGCACCCCATGATCATGTGATTGCCACTGGCAATCTTTTCTGCTGGCTTCCCCATTGGAAGCTGGCAGGGAAGGTTGCAAGTGGAGGGGACGTGGCGGTGTGAAGGAACGGATCTCAAATCTTCAGGATTTGAGGTCCATAACTGCCCAGCGCTGGGAGGTTTCCCCTCCCCCCATAGCACTGGGCAGTCACAGGCCTCAAATCTTCAGGTGCTCTATTCACCACAGAGAGAGGGGAGGGGAAAGAGGACGGAACAAAAGAAATAGGATAGAGTGAGAGTGACAGCTTTTTCACTCTGTCCTTTCATTCTGTTCTCTTTCCCCTCCCCTCTCTCAGTGGTGTGCTCTGTTCATCAGTGAAAGAAGAGAGGGGAAAGAGGACGGAGTGAAAGAGTTTGTCTGCTGAAGGATTTCAGCTCTTCAACTGGTTTGCAGTCATTGAGCGAAGCAGTTATGTGGGTGTCTCACTTAATGACCACTTCACTGAACGACCGAGATTCTGGTCTCAGTTGTGGTTGTTAGGCAAGGACCACCAGTACAGGTAGTCATTGTTTAGCAACCACAATTGGGACCAGCAACTTGGGTGCTAAGTGATAGTCGCTAAGTGTAAAAAATGACAGGACTGTTCTTACGACTTACTTCAGTTTTCCTTTTTCCCCACTCCCCTGCCCTTTAGAATGCTCACCCAGCACTGGGATAATTAGCAAGAAGGGAATTAATGTTTGTATTTACATTCATTGGAGAGGAAGGGATTACAAAAGAGTAAGCAGGCACACAATCGGAAATACACATCGAAAGGAATGCACTTGCACTGGCTGTGTGCCTGGAGCACTTGTGGCTCTGAGCCCCCAGCTGCTTAGGAGGCAAACAAAACCAGAAGGTGTCAAACTGATTAAAGTCATGTCAGTTACACACAGTATCTGCTGCCTGCTAATTAAGCTCACAGAGCTGAATTTGTTAACTTCCTGTTAGCACCTTTTGGGGAAATGGTGGGTTGAGAAAAGCAGCTCAGGAAGAGATCCCTTGTTTGGGCAATCACTCTGTTCTGCGACAGGGAAAAAGAAAAATAATGGGTCAGGCACAAGACATGTGTTGACTGTAATGGCAAACACGTGACACGGAGAAATGCTGTAAAGGTTGTAAATAGAGGCATTGGTTGCAAAGTTACTTTTTTTTAATCACCATCGTAACTTTGAATAGTCGCTGCCTAAGGCAGTCACTAAGCAACATCTACCTTTACTTAAATCACTATTCAAAACAAATGTACTTTTTTCTAAGCAGTTACTTGCCAACTCTGCTCATTCATTCTTGGATCTTAAATATCCCATCATTTTTTACTGTAATCTCTTATCTCACTCTCTCATCCTTCCATTTATGTGATCTAAAAAGAAATTTCCACTGGTCCTTCATTCAGAATGTTGCACACTTGTTCCCAAAAGTTTAATTAACACCATTCACTGGAACATAACATAAAAGAGTCACCATTCTATGACTTCCTACTTTCATGGGATGTATATATTGACTCCAGGTGGTCAAGTAGTACTGTCAAGTTCCTGTCCCAGTGCCTGGAAGCTGTTTGGGTCTGAATGGAGAGTTACAGATTCAGGCTTAACTGTAGCAAGACTGAGTGGCTGTGGGTGTTGTGGCCACTGGGTATAGGAAGAAGCATTGTATGCATGCAGCACTTATTCCCTTCCACTCTGCACTGATGAGACCACACCTCAAGTTGAGAATTGTATCTGGAGTGTACAATTCTGGGCTCATTTCCAGAAAGATACTGACATGTAGAAAATGTTTGGTGGATGACAACAAAGATGATATAGGGACTTCATGACATGCCCTGTGAGGACAAGACTAAAGGAACTTGGGATGTTCAATTTGGAGAAAAAGCAACTGGGGAAGACATAATATCAGTGTTCAGGTACATAAAAGGTGCCACTGAGAAGAGAGTAAGAAAGTATTTTCTATTCCAACAGAAACTAGGACAAATAATGGATATAAGTTGCAGCTATCTAGATTTCACTTAAGAAAAACTGATAGTAGGACTGCACAACAGTGGAATAATGTACCTACAGAAGTTTGGGTTATCTATCTCTGGAAAGCCACCTCTGAAAGACAGTTTAATTGGTTTCCTGCACATTACAGAAGGCTGGAGTGTATGAACCTCGTGGTCCCTTTCTATGATTCTATGCTTACTAGTCATGTTTTTCTCCTACTAACTAGTTAGGACCCTCAACAATAAAGGATTAAAAACTTGAAATTGTTATGATTTCTGGTCTGTCAGGTACCAATGCAGTTTTGAAAACTCTGGTGCATGGCACCCCACATGAATTCTAAGACATTCTCTAGCAAAAGAGTTAGTTTTGTGTTAAAGTGGAAATTATCTTGATGATAGATGGAGGATGGACAAAGGGTCCAGAGAGAGATTTCAAAAATAAGAACACACATAGACAATTTCAAAAACATCTACAGCTATGATGTAATTCTCATGTAACATTTTTCTTGATTAGTTATGGAATAATATTGTATTACTGGGTCCATCTTCTTAAACCACTGTACATATTTGAAATGTTTAGGCCTATTAGTTTCTCATTTGTTTTAATTAAAAGAATCTAAAAATAAAGTCAGATGGGCATGGACTTTAGTGGGCACCAAGAAAGCTACTACTATGTACCTTTTCTTTAAAAAAAAGAATAATGAACTCTGTTATACATTGGATATAAATGTATTACTGTAAATGTTAGCTGAAAGCTTTATTTCTCAAAGTATGCTGAACCAACCTCTCCCTTTTAAACTTTTTTTTGTTTCCCAACTCAAGCATTATAAACTAGAATAGAATAAGACATCTAGCTTTAGGATGCTGCTGGTGAATGCCAGGTCTGTCTGCCATAAAATCATATCTATTCATGATTTGGTGGTGGATGAGCAGGGAGATGTCATGGAATTACTGAATTCTGGCTGGGTGAGGGCAGTGATATCACTCTTTCTGAAATTTACCCACTTTGGGCCTTGCCTTTGCTTTGGAGCAGTTGTTATACAAACTGGCTGGGGGGGGGGTACTACCAGCAACTATTTGCCATTGTTAGATCCCATGCATTTAACTGCCACCCGGGACCTCCATAGGGCCAGACGTATTCCAATGGTCCACCCCAGGCACCTGATGGATCTGGCTGGCTTCTAATGGGAGCTTGGAGAGCTTCCTGACAATCTGGTGGGTGAATCCATTGAGGGGCTGGTTCACTACTGGCATCATGAGGCAACCTGGGCCTCTGCCAAAATCACCTCTGAGCAACCCCTCTCTGCTGGCCAGTAGTGAACCAGGCTGGATCCCTATCCCTCCTGGTTCCTTCGGGCCATTGGGGGAAGATAATTTCCTGGATCTAGGAGATGGTTAATGTCTTGCTGTGGGAGGGGATGCATTCAGCAGTCTTGAAAGAGGCTATGGTATACCTCCCCCTTAAGAGGTCCTCTCTAGATCTGGAGGTTTTGGACAACTATTACCTGGTCTCCAATCTTCCCTTTTTGGGGAAGATTACACCCTCCCCTCATTTAGTGACTGCAATCCATTCCTTAAATCAGAAGTGAAATGGTCACTAAGCAAACACGTGACAGAGAGCTAGAGACGCTGCAAAGGTCACTGGTTGCTGCCATCTCATTTAGATAAAGTTCTCCTGTACCTGACCCTTTTTCTTTTCCTTTTTTGCCCCCTTGCAGGGTGGAGAGATTGCTTAAACAAGCTATCTCTTCCTGAGCTGCTTTTCTCCACACCATTTCCCTAAAAAGTGCTAATTGCAAATTAACAAGCTCAGCTCTGTGACTTTAATTAGTTGATTAGAACCCTCTGGCCCGCTCATCCTGCTGTCTGAAGCTAACCAGACCATAATCAGTTTCACACTGAAGCCTTTTGTTGTCAGGTGGATGAAATTTGGTCATAAATGTGTGCATTGGTTGGAAAATCATCATCATCATCATCATTGGTCGCACTTTTGGATGATCTCTGGTGAGAGCGGGATGGGGGGAGTGCATCCATCCTTGCTCTTCTTGACCTCT